ATAATAACAAAAAAAAAAAAAGATCTGTCTCAGTGTGTTATTCATCACACTACTACTGCAAAACGTCAAGTGTATTTCACTAATAGATAACACCAGTATCGTGTATTTTGCACGTTTAGTATAACTTTGTATCATCGAAGCAGGTAAACATTTAAAAATAGTTTTATGTTGTTAGTCAAAGTCGTTAACATCATGTCGCAACAATGTTTTGTGTTTACAAGATATATTTAAATAACGCATGTTAATATTAGGAAGTAGGTACAATAGGTTAGTTGTGAGGAAGTAGGTACACTGGGTTAGTTGTGAGGAAGTAGATACACTGGGTTAGTTTTGAGGAAGTAGATACAACAGGTTAGTTGTGACGAAGTAGATACAGTGGGTTAGTTGTGACGAAGTAGATACAATAGTTTAGTAGTAAGAAAATAGGTACACTGGGTTAGTTGTGAGGAAGTAGATACACTGGGTTTGTTTTGAGGAAGTAGATACAATAGGTTAGTTGTGACGAAGTAGATACAGTGGGTCAGTTGTGACGAAGTAGATACAGTGGGTTAGTTGTGACGAAGTAGATACAATAGTTTAGTAGTAAGAAAATAGGTACACTGGGTTAGTTGTGAGGAAGTACATGTAGATACACTGGGTTAATTGTGAGGAAGTAGATACACTGGGTTAGTTGTGAGAAAACGCTTAAATTACGAATGTTAACTTCTGATCAAACCAAGCTACGTACATGGATCAAATTAACATTGAACCAGGTAATTGATATAGCTAATTAAATATGCTGTTCTTACGCTGTCTAATACATAAAGATAAGTTTGTGTCTGTTTGTTTGCACCTTTCAGCCATCTGTTCCTTATACGTTTCCACACTTCGTGATCAATCAGCATCAAACTTGACACAGTGATACAGGATGACATGAGGAAGGTCATGAGGGTGGGGGTTGGCCCACATCTAATTTCATATTGATAGAATTCTTGAAAGCAGCATGTCTTTCTTTTCATTATTGGTACCTTTATGTATTTTTATTACACTTTTAATGCTTATTATGTTAAGAAAAAAATAGAAGCACAATTTCCTATCCTTTGTTAGAAACGAATTTTTATTTCACAAGTCCAACGTACTGGTACTCCAGCTGTTTATTTATAAAGATTGTTTGAACAGTTATTCTTGGTACTTGTAAGAAAGTGATTTTATTGTGTGTGAATGATAGATCTCAAGAAGTAGGTACGTTATAGAAGTTCTCGGGAAGTAGTTACATTATGGTAGTTGTCAGGAAGTAGTTATATTATGGTAGTTGTCAGGAAGTAGTTACATTATGTAAGTTCTCAGGAAGTAGTTACATTATGGTAATTTTCAGGAAGTAGTTATATTATGGTAGTTCTTAGAAGTAGTTACATTATGGTAGTTGTCAGGAAGTAGTTATATTATGGTAATTCTTAGGAAGTAGTTACATTATGGAAGTTCTCAGGAAGTAGTTACATTATGGTAGTTGTCAGGAAGTAGTTTCATTATGTAAGTTCTCAGGAAGTAGTTACATTATGGTAATTCTCAGGAAGTAGTTATATTATGGAAGTTCTCAGGAAGTAGTTACATTATAGTAATTTTCAGGAAGTAGTTATATTACGGTAGTTCTTAGAAGTAGTTACATTATGTAAGTTCTCAGGAAGTAGTTACATTATCGTAGTTCTCAGGAAGTAGTTATATTGTGTTAGTTCCCAGGAACTAATTTCCTTATAGTAATTCTTAATAAATATTTACATTGGGTTATAGCTATAAGGAAATGATTATATTGCGTGGTATTGAGTTTGTTGTTAGGTTATGTTTACCTTCAATAAAACTAATAGCTGAACAATGCTCAAGATCTTAGTGGAGGGATTTATCATTTTAACATCTCAATTCTGACTTTATTAATACCGTTTTCTGGAAAAAATAAATGGGAATGAGGACAAAAACATTGACAATGAAATGTCTGAGAAAAGTTACTATATGACTTTTTTGAGCACTGCATGGAAGCGACTTTCCAATAAACACATTAGAAACATAAACTAAGTTCAGGTTTTTTTCATCATAACTCCAGAAAAAGGACAAGGGTGCAGGAAGTTTTAACTTATCGAGAGCTTATTGGTTCTATCAGCGATATCTTGTTCTTTCCCTCTAGTTCAAAGTAAGTTTCAGAGCTCACAGATCGCGGGGCCTTAGCTAGGATTTCACTTCGGGGTGGGGTGGGGGAGATACTTAGAAAAAACCCGCCCTTCCGAAAAATAAAACATTGACACTCCCAGCACTCTGTTTGGTTTGTATTCAATATTTTGAGTATTTTCCCTTTGGGAAAAATTAATGCTAATTTTTAAAAGTTTTCTGTGAAGAAACCCCATTATAAAACCACTTAAAGATACACGTATTGAAAT